TGAACAGCCTATCAGTCTAGTGGACACGTATGCCCAACAGCCCTCACAGCGGCTGCGAAACGTCACCTTCATATGTGTGCTTTCATACACCAGATAGCCGGAAGAACCTCAAAGCTGCACTGCACGAAAGACGGCCTTCACAAAGTCTAATTGAGTAACGAGGCTGTTCAAGAGGCCATGACACCTTCACAAGAGGCAGTGATGGTTGTTACAGAGCCTCTCACACGAGCCCAGATGGCGGAACTTTCCTACAGTGCCCAGTTCGACATACTCCTCCCCCAGCCAGACCTCATCCCCTGGGACCGCAAGAAAGCCGTGCCCAAGCCCTCCTTGCTCGCACAGGTAAGTGGGCGGCTCCCATCTAGATGAGGGCAGCACCATTTTCGTGCCTGCAATGCAAACCAGAAATGCGGTGGCCTAGCCAGGCCAGAAACTTGAAGCCGTCTCGGATGTTTAGCAGTGGAAAGGCAGCAGATGTTGATGCGGGTGGCGTTCTTGGCGTCTGCTGCTCAGGATCGGATTGCTTCTGGAGCGCTCCTGGCACGAGAATTAAGTAAAAGGCCGCTCACAATCTGATAAGGGATGTTTATTGTGCAGCTCAGATAATCCAAAGTTGATTGCTGAAGCAGGGGAGGCCATCAGGGCTCCTAGAGTTAGTTCGTCATGCAAGAAAGCCTCACTTTTGTAATCTGCTTGGTCTGTGCTTTAAGGTCGGGATTTCAGGTTTTTGACTTGATATTTGATACCAGGGAAACCTTAGCAGAATTGGAGTGCAAAGGCATGTCTCTAGCACATCCAATTACGGGCTTTCAGTGGCTAGTCTTTTTGTGTGAACTGGAAGCAGAAATGGAGGCTGACAGTCCATTGTCATTAGTTAGGACGAAGAACGGTCCACCTTTGCTTAACCAACTGATGCGGCAGAAGAGTTAAGCAAGTTAAGGTTTGAAGGCAACAAAACATTTTGCAAAGATGATGCCGCTCATTGCCAAGTCTCTTCAAATGCTGAGCTCTTTCTGATCTTTCTTTGATCTTTCTTCAAGACAGGAAGCAGTAGACAGGGCCTCTAAGCATCCACCCATAGAGGACTTTGACTATTTATGGCAATCTGAAAGGCGTGGTTTACCAGCAACTGACAGTATAGGTTTTGAAATCATCGTTGGAAGCAAAGTAACTCTGGAAGCGATCATCTTGCCTAATCCACTCATCTTGCCACTGATTTAATTCTCGTCAGGATAAAGATCCTTACTGCGAGCTGGCCCCTTACACGTGCCACCTGCAAGCGCAAGTCAAGCCCCAGAGGTTTGCCCCCGAATCCGACATGTTGCCCTAAGTGCATCTAACTTATTCGCCAGGCAATCTGAGCTGTTTCCTGCTGTTTTCAATCAGGAAGTAGAAGCTGAGGCCTACCGTCTCACAGCATCCACGACATTTGCCACCCAAAAGCGCAACTGGTTCAGCAACCGCATCTGGGGCGTCAAAGATATGGGCACCGCACTCCTCTTCATTGGGATGCACTTAGCCTGTCTGGCAGCCCCTTTTACATTCTCGTGGCAGTGTGTCATTTTCTGGTATGTCACCTATTGCATCACCGGGTGCTTTGGGATCGCCATGAGCTTCCACCGCCAGTTGAGCCATCACTCCTTTACAACGTCCAAGTGGTTGGAGTACTTCTTTGCGTACTGCGGCGTGATGACGTTTGAGGTAAGGACCACTTTCGATTCTTTTCTATTTTCCATGTCGTTCCGCTTTTGATCGGGTCCGACTTTCGCATCATGGGCTTTCTCCATCTGCTGAGCTATAACTTCCAATGCCTAAGCATCTGGGTATTTCTTTTCCCTTCGTGTTTTCACTAACAACAGTCCTTGGGTCTTCGCTGATTGGCTACTCTTGGGAAGCAGGGCCGGAAGCAGACTACCTGAACAATGCAGGTCGGCTGTGACCCTCTAGAGTTGAGCATATTTTTGAGTCTGATAAGAGATTGAAGAAGTTCCAGTAAAATTGAGGGGAAACTATCTCGCAACTGACAAAGGCTCTTTGTATTGCAGGGCAAACCGACATTCTGGGTCTCAAGCCATCGTTTTCACCACCTCCAAACAGACACCCCGCTTGACCCCCATTCACCTGCAGAGGGCTTTTGGTGGTCGCACATGGGCTGGGTCATGGACAAGTTGGTGAGTGTTACAATTTGAGATGTGTACTCATTGATGTGCGTTCTTTATAGGCATTATGGTGATTTGTGAGTTATTAGGTTGACTCGAATTGCCAGGGATGCCTGCGAATTGGGTTTCGTAAGTGTGTGTTCAGAGTTAGGCTCATGGGTATAAGATACTGTAGAAAGGAATTGCTGGTGTTGCTGAAGTCATACTCTGTTTTGCTAGCAGTTTCGAAAGTTGATTGGCACTCATAATGATCAATTATCTGCAAACTTTGGTTAAAGTGGTAATTCCGATTCGTGAAGAGACCGCGTGATGCTTCCCACAAGACTTTATGTAAGGGTAACAGGGGAAGCCTTGCGTTTTCGATAGTTTTGTTGATCATCGTACTTGGGAGAGACGGACAATCAAAGTGGCTGCAGACCTAACTACCCAAGCCACTTTGCAGGAAGTGTGCAGTAAAATCGCTTTCTTGATTGAACCCCGAGCATAGAGCCCCTTTGTAGAGTGTATGGCATGGATTCGTTCTGAACAAAATCATCCAGCAACCAGATACACGACCTTTGGGTAAAGGGCAATCTCTGTAAGCCCAGACTCGCAGCAGAGCGAGTCTTCAAGCTGGTTGTCTTCTCTGTGATTGCATAGTATAATTATCAGTGGGTTCTCAAAAGATACGGATAGCCTCCAGCCTATTGCAGAAATCCAGTAAATGAACTTTTGATGAAGAACAAGTCTTTCAATGGAGACGATCACAGTTACAGCTCCCGTCCGACTTGCAGAAATTCGGCATAAAAAGACTTCTGACGAAGAACACTTTTCCTTTGGAAATGGAGAATCCGCGTTTATTTCAAACTTAGCCACGAGCATGTGGACAGCCTTGTGGCAGCATGTTCATCCAACTCTACCAGCGCCTACAGTCTCTGCATTCATTTGTCTCGTGAACAGCGATTCAACAAGATCGTTTTTCTACTTTGTTCCTGCTTTGCAGAGCAAGGATCACCGGGCTGGATGTGTGGTGGAGAACAACGTGGACGACATGCGTTCGCAGCGCTTCTATCAGCACATGGAAGATTGGTACTGGGCGCACGTCTGGGGCTCCTTCCTGCTGCTTTACGTGGTAAGAATATTCTCAACCTAAGCCGTTTCATATCTGAAACCAAGCTGCGTGCTCATTCAAAGAAACGCTCATTCAAGCGATTTTTGTGCCGTATCGTCCCCTGGAAGCGTGTGTGAGATCCGTCAGGATCTCACGAAATTTCCTTCATCCGACCTTTTCCTCTATTGTCTGTGGGAAGGCAGACGCATGCTTGAGAAGCAAGGGCCAACGTTCAAGGTCCGATGTGAGTGTGAGAGTTCTGTGACGGTGTTGCTGAAACGAGATTAGACAGTCAATCGTCAAAGCCTTCGATTAAGCATCCTCTCATTCTGTGTATCTAGTCTATGCAACATTTTATGCAATTGCAGATGTCGGTCAGACAATTGCTCGGTGATTGTGTGCTTCAGATGTGTTGCAGGCAACTCGAATGATCCTTTCTGCAAAACGATGACGTGTGACGAAATGCCTGATTCAAGTGGGGGCTGTTGGCTTCTGATATGAGATCCCTGTAGGTAATGCTGGTGAACAGCGTCCCTTACCTACAAGGCGATGTTCCCTACAGTAGAACGGAAATCTGTGTGGATGCTGGGGCTTCACGACTTTTCTGCTTATGGCATGGCACTTCTTCTTTCAACCTACTGTTCATTCTTGCACTCCTTCTCTCAGCGTAAAGTGTAGAACTTGAGGGAAGCTTTTGATCTTCTGCAGGTGGGCAACTGGATGGTACCCGTCTGGGTCAACTTATCGAGCTTCCCAGACGTCTTGTTTTAGAAAACCTGCCTCGTTGTTTAGAGATTCTCGCGCAGCCCTGCGAGTGCCTCCTTTTTGGAAAACGCCTCACGGTCTATAAGATTCTGATCAACCAGAGTGATCGTCAGGGGAGGGATTGGAGCCTCGACCTGTTTTGCTGGTCGGTGGCTGGCCGGCATCACCGAGTTCCGCCTCTTGACCTTTGCAAGCCTCCCTTTTTTTGTTGGTAAAATGTCTATTGGTAGACAAGGTCTTGCTTCTAATTTAAAGTGAAGACATGAAAGATTCGATCGGTTCTTCACAGATCGGTGGCTGGCCGGCACTCATATGGGGCGGTCCGCTGCGGGTTGTGTCCGTGTGGCACGGCACCTTTTCTGTCAATAGCGCGTCGCACATCTGGGGTAGCCAGCCATACAAGACAGGAGATTTGTCCCGCAACCTGTGGTGAGCTTTTCTTACCTATACGAATTGCTTCTTGGATGTATATATTGCAGTGGCATACGATCCTGCAGATCAAGTCTTCTTTTGGAAGGGATACAACATCTTCCGAACAGCAAGGGGTCGAGTTCGGGGCAGCTTGGCATACACAAATGGAAACTCATCCTGCAACCTCGCTTACAATCCGGTGACTGTACACAGTCACTGCGACCAATTGATCGACTGGGTTGGTTCAGCAATGTTAAAAGCTTCGCTACCTGTTTCATCAATCAGGCCGTCAAAACGGAGGTGCAGCCATCTTTGACAATTCGTTTTCTGCCAGACAGCACGCTGCGCTTCCAGCTGATATAATATACAAAAGTTGGGGGCGAGCAGTTGTTTAAGGTTGAATTTACCACTTTCTCGCCTTTGCAAAACCCACTTTTTGCCCACACATCGGTCTGTTCTACCTGTCTCTTCCTCAGAAGCCTGAATGCAACGTGACATTGAGACGGTTGTACTATTCTACATCTGCTTTTTCTGGTCTGCAGGTGGGTGGCGGTTGTCTCCTTCGGCGAATGGCACAACAATCACCATGCCTTTGGCTTCTCTGCACGCCATGGTTTGGAGTGGTGGGAGTTCGACGTGTCTTGGTATATCATCAGATTGCTTCAGAAGGTGGGGCTTGCTTGGGATGTCCATACACCAACACCCAAGCAAGTAGAATACCAAAGTGTAAAAGCAAAGAGTCGGTGAAGTGTTTCAATGTGGGACCCCCTTTCCCCCCCTCCCTCCCCCACGTCAGGTTATAAGTTTAGTTATACTTATACCATGGTTATACCGTCGAAAGAGCATAAATTTAGTATATATGGCAAATATCGAACCAAAGCAATGCAACTTACGTGATTCGAGAAGCTGTTGGCTGCGCGCAAGCAGCCGGACAGAAGCGCACTAGGAGTAATGAATACACGATTTTTGGAGTACATGCGGGATCAGAAGCGTGCGCCAGTCATGCCTGATTATCTAAAGCTATTCGGGTCGGCTGAGGACCGCAGCGCTATCTCAGTACCCTTGACAAGGAGAGTAGCAAGCAAAAGGTCCCATTGTCACATAGCAAGATGAACGAGTGGCGCAGGGAGATGCGCGTGATAAAACATCAGAGGCCTCTCAAGGCTGCACGTTCCATGTGACTACACATGTTAGCATCAGGTCGACTAGTGGCACTAGTGTTTTGGATGCATATGCAGCCCAGCGGAGATGGTCCACGAATTGATTCATCAACGTCACCCGTCCTGTTGATCGGAGATCCCTCAGAGATCATGTCTGTGGTATGTGACAGTACTTCGTCCAATATCAGCTCCTTGTATGCACTACATTTGTATATCATTGCAATGGTGTGGCGCGGGGCATGTATGATGGACGTCTTTCTGATTGCATTCATCGTGGTGCTTACATACAGTCTGTTCAGAGTAAAATGGCGTTGGATGCGAGTGACTGCCCTTGACCAAGAGAGATACATTTGCAAATATGTCTGAGCAGATTGCATGGTGAAGACGTTGTGATGGACACACAGCACACCGAGCATTTGTCACAGCCAGAATGTGTGATCAGTTTTAGGGTTTGCTGCTGCTTGTTACTATATGTGGACAGTTTCAGGGTTGATCTGCTGCATGTTGAGATATGTGGTCAGTGTAGTCAGCTTTACGGTTTCCTGCTGCTTGTTGTTATATGTGGTCAGCTTTAGGGTTTCTCGCTGCTTGTTGCTAAATGTGGTCTACCCACACTCAGAATGACTCTATACAGCATATAGCATCAGGTCGATCAGTTGGATGATGGTAAACCAAAGCCCATCATACCCACACTCAGAATGACTCTATTGGTCCATGTTCGATATTTCAAAGGGGAACCATCAGTACTTTCTACATTAATTGCAACTTTTTAATTATCTTCAATCTCTTCGAGAATAAAACGAAATTTTTGATCTTTTTCAATTCTTACAGCATATAGCATCAGGTCGACTAGTGGCACTAGTGTTTTGGATGCATATACTATCAGCTTCATGATGCATGACCTACCGGTGCAGTTTAGAGATGAAGACTTGGCTATGGATACAGCACACCAGGAGTTTGTCAACGCTAAAAATGCATGGGAGTTCAGCAATATGTCAAGCGAAGAGAGATTTGGAGAGAAACATGGGCTCGTAGGAAAGCCAGGCTGGTTGGCACATGATCAAACCTACATTGCCTTTATTTGTGAGCCATGCGTTTTAAAATTTGTGAATACGAAGTCAACAACACACCTTGGAAGGCTGAGGCTTGCTCAATATACACCGCTTTGAGTACATAACCAGTTACAAAATGTTGATTGTATCTTCTGACATATTTGTCCAGTTTGCCAATCTGGAAATGGTGACCTTTGTACCAAACCTAAGCATACATGACTACAACGTAAGGTCCAAAAAGCTGACTAGATCCAAAAGCTAATCTAATCACAACGACCGGCCCACACAGACCTCCTCTCCATCACCTTTGATATATGTCATCTTCAAACACACCTCCTGATACTGCTTGAGGGAATTGCAATCTAGAGGAGTAAGTTGCTGCGACAAAAAGGTATCCAGGTCCATCTTGTTATCATTCGCAATCTTCCAGCAAGATTCCCCAGCTTGCACTTTGTGCTTGTTGGTGTCGGCACAGACCCACCGCGCATGACGATATACGTGGGGTTGTCTTTAGCCAGCTGGTTGACGTGCCTTAAGTAGCCGCAAGTTGACGGGCACCTTTTCACGCACAGTGCCTAACCTGTTGGCACCCGGTGCTCCGTATGTCATTAGTTCACCAAAGTTTGTGGCATTTTGTTTGTCGATGTCTATGCAGCCCAGCGGAGATGGTCCACGAATTGATTCATCAACGTCACCCATCCTGTTGATCGGAGATCCCTCCTTCCGGCCGATGTACCGGCTGTCTCCGCTCGAGTTCGCGGAAGCACAGAAGCAGGTGACCAAGGTCCTTAACGACGGTATCATCCAGCCCAGTAAGTCGCCTTATGGGAGCTCCGATTCTGTTTG